TCGGGTTGGTCGGATCGAGTCCGGAATGAGTTTGGTGAAGTTTGAGACACTTAGTCTCTTTTAAGAAGGATTAAGTTGGAAAAGTCAACCGGATATTGACTTATGTGTTAGAGAGCTCGGATATGAGTTCCGATGGTTCGGCTAGCTTCGGGAGGTGATTTGCAACTTAGGAGCGTGATCGGAATGGGTTTTAGAGGTTCGAAGTAGACTTAGGCTTGAATTGCGAAATTGATATTTTTGGCGATTTTCGGTTGATAGGCGAGTTTTCGATATAGGGGTCGGAATGTAATTCTGAGAGTTGCAATAGCTTCGTTGTATCAATTGGGATATGTGTGTAAAATTCCAAGTCATTCGGACGTGGGTTGGTAGGGTTTTTTATCAAAAGCGTACTTCGAAAGATTTTAGAAACTTAGGCTTGAATCTGATGTGATTTGATAGATTTGATGTTGTTTGGGGTGTTTTGATGATTGGAACAAGTTTGAATAAGGTATTGGGTTATGTTTGTGCTTTTGGTTGAGGTCCCGAAGGCCTCGGGATGATTTCGGGAGGTTAATGGGGATGTTGCAGGGTAATTACAACTGCAAAAGTTTTGCTGCTTCTGGTGTTTTCGTACCTGCGGTTTGGGGACCGCAGGTGCGGTGCCGCACGTGCGGGAGAATAACCGCAGAAGGGGTTTTGGGAGGATTCATCAGGAGTCACAGATGCGGTTGAAGGGTCGCATCTGCGAGGCCGCAGGTGCGGAAGCTTGACCGCAGATGCGGTTTGGGTCTTTTAAGTGACTTCCGCAGAAGCGGACTAATGGCCGCAAATGTGGTACTGCAGAAGCGGTTATGGGACTGCAGATGAGAAAAGGTCTGGGCAGAAAGTATATATTCCTTCCTTCGCGATTTTTGAAGGGTTTAACTATTTTTGAACTCGAAATTGGGAGCTTTGGGCGATTTTGAAGAGAGAAATCAAAGTGACTTCGTTGAGGTAAGGATTTTGGACATAAAACACATTTCTATGGTAGAATTTCATGAATTAAAGATGTAATTAATGGGATTAAAGGGTTAACAAAGGAGGATTAGGGCTTGAGTTTAAGAGGCCTTTAATGGAGGATTTGAGGGATCATTTGAGCTCCGATTTTGGTATTCTTGATATGTATGGACTCGTGGAGAGATGTGTTATCTATGAATGTAAAAAATTCTGAGTTTCGAGAAGTGGGTCCGGGCTCGAGTTTTTGCTAATTTCTGGATTTTTTGTATTTTTCGATTATTTTCGCTTGGGATTTGTTTCCTTAGCATATTGTGACATATTCATTTTGATTTTGGATAGATTCGATGCGCGCAGAGGCCAATTTGAGGGGCAATGACGTCGCGGAGTAGTATTTTCACCAGCTTGAGGTAAATAACCATTGTAAATCTGGAACTGAGGGTACAAAACCCCGGTATTTGAATTGATTTGATAAGAGCGGTGACACACATGCTAGGTGACAAGCGTGTGGGCGTGCACCGGCAGGGATTGTGACTTGGTCCGTCCCATAGCGACTATTAAGACGCTTATTTGATTTGGAAATCTTACATTATTCCGTATTCCAGTCTTTTATACTGTATTATGGGTTGTATGCCATGTTTGGGGCCTTGTGCCGACCTGTAGAAACCCTTAGGGGCATTTTGATTGTTCTTCTTCACTTTAATTGTTTAAAAATCATATCCTCAATCATGCTTTTTACCTGTTTAAATGATTAAAGCTGGTTTTATCACTCTATTCCTAAATGCGAGGATTGTTTGCGTTGAGATCCCTACCTTCTATTATTGTGCCTGAGAGGTTGTGAGGTTAATGACTGAGAGAGGTTGAGAACCCAATTGTGAGGATATTATATGTATATATTATTGGTCGAGTTGCACGCCGCAGCGATATATATATATTGGATCGGGCTGCACGGCGCACCGATATGACGTTTAGGCTATAGGAGCCCCTCCGGAGTCTACACACCCCTAATGAGCGTAGTCGACTATAAATATATGGACCAGGCTGCATGCTGCAGCGGTTACTATGATTTCTATTATTATGAGATATAAATGAGCTGAGTGCTGAGAGCGAGTTCTAAGTAACGTGAGTTGAGTCACGTGTGACTGAGAGGCTGCCCGAGGAGCCAGATTCTGAGTGATTCCTTGCCCGAGAGGCCTTGTCATGATGTTTTCACTGATTTCACTCTTCTTTTAAATAAGCCTCTGTTTGATATACTGCTAAGTAATTGGTTCCAAATGTTTAAACTGAAAATGTGGTTTTATAACGGAAACTGATTTCTGAACTGTAAAGAAGACATGTTGTTTCGTTGGTTATTTCGTTATGTATTTTTTAAACTGCTCATCACTACTTTCAGACCTTATTTACTTTAGTTACTTACTGAGTTGGCGTACTCACGTTACTCCCTGCACCTTGTGTGCAGATCCAGGTGCCCGAGCGGCCGAGTGAGCATTTTTTAGCTTGTTCAGTTTTCTATCGGGGATTTCGAGGTGGTTGCATGGTGTTCGCAGCCCTATTCTCTCCCTTCTATCTTGCTATCTTTTCAGTATTTTCTAGACTATCTATGTAGTAGGATGTTTGGACTTGTATTAGAGGCTCTAGACTCGTGACATCAGATTGTTGGGGCTGTGTAGTATTTGCTATTTTGATTTTCCGCATATTTTTGTCATTATTATACTTATAAAGAATTCCTCATTTAAAACTTGTGCTAGAAATTGGCTTTATGTTATTAGCAAATGGGTTGTGGTTATGGATTTTTCGGCTTGCCTAGTAATGTGATAGGCGCCATNATATATATATATATATATATATGTGTGTGTGTGTGTGTGTGTGTGTGAGTGTGCGTGTGTGTACATATATATGTATATATATATGTATATTCGATATATATAGAGTATTGATTAAAAACAAAACATCTCGACTTATATCAATTAATATGTTATAATTGATTCATCGACTTATTGTAACAAAGTTAATGAATTACATTCATTCATCATTCGGTTATAAGTCGATGAATCAATTATAACATACTAATTGATATAACTCGAGACGTTTTGTTTTTAATATATATACATGCATCTAAGTAGGTTATAAGTCGATGAATCAATTTACAAGTGTATCAATACCTAAAAGAACCCGGCCCTGTGTTCTGAGCGTTTCATGTTCTTATATATATATAGACACACACAGACGCTTCACTGTAATACTATAACGTATATATAACTTGTTATAGTATATGTTAGTGTGTGTATATATATAACACACACACTTCGTGCTAATTTAACTACATATATAGCATGTTATAGTACATGATACTGTATTCATTATTTGTATTGTAACAGAGTTAATGAATTACATTCATTCATCACTAGGTTATAAGTCGATGAATCAATTATAACATATTAATTGATATAAGTCGAGACGTTTTGTTTTTAATATATATACATGCATCTGAGTAGGTTATAAGCCGATGAATTAATTTACAAGTGTAACAATACGTAAAAGAACCTGGCCCTGTGTTCCGAGCGCTTCATGTTCTTATATATATATATATACACACACACACACACACACACACGCTTCGTTGTACTACTTAACTGCATATATAGCATGTTAGAGTATATTTTAGTGTATTCATCCCTTGTATTACAAAAGTGTTAACGGCTTACATTTATATTATTTAGATAGTAAATACAAAAGTGATTTTTAATTTGACCAATGTTGACCTGAAAAGAGACCAACTTTGGCCACTACTTTTCCAGAAATTATATTTAGCGACCAATGTTGGTCGCCAAATATCCAGAAATTAAATTTAGCGACCAAAGTTGGTCGCTAAATTTAAATCAGATTTTTTAGTTTATATTTTATATAATATTTAAAATAATAATATAATTGTTAAACGTTAGAAATGGGTCCCAGATTAGCGGCCAAAGTTGGTCTCTATTTTGCTAAGCGACCAACTTTGGTCACTAACTTTGAATTATATTTATTTATATTTTATATTTTTTTAAAATAATTATTTTATAACTGGGACCCATATTAGCGACCAAAGTTGGTCTCTATTTGCTTATCATTTAATGAGCGACCAACTTTGGTCGCTAATTTTAAATTATATTTATTTATATTTTATAATTTTTTAAATAATATTATAATTATTAAAATTTTACATGTGGGTCCCACTTTAGCGCCCAACATTGGTAGTTAATCTCAGTATTTCTTTGACCAAGCAAGTCTAACCAATCCGATCAACATTTTGACAAAATTATCAACCAAAAAGCGATCAACCTTGGTCGCTAATGTATTTAGAATAATTAATTAATTATTTTTTCCAATTTAGCGACCAACTTTGGTCGCTTTTCTTAATAGACCAATTTTGGTCGCCAAATTTTGGTCGCTTTTTTCCGAATTTCTAGTAGTGACATTTGTAAGGACACGAAATACTATTGGAATATACTGATTTACTTTGCTGTCTTCTGCTCTTCTTCTTATTATTAAAAAGTCAATTTCATTTATTCATTGTATATATGATTATCAGTAACCCGCGTTCTTCTAAAATAAAACTTTGACCGAAATTTCTATTTTTGGTTAAACAATATCCTCCTGTTTCTTTCAATTTATCTCTTTGATCTCACTAACTTCCTTTTACGTTGATACTTTTTTCAAATTGTAATATTCTAGTAAGGCAATCTGATCGTTAGCTTTCAACGAGAGTACTATTAAGTCATACCACTTAGAAGCACTAATTGGCAACACAAAATCAGTGCCAACAAAGAAATAAAGCTTTGGACTCTATTTTGCCATGTCTCTGATAATTTACATATCCACTTACTTAAAAGAGAAAAGAGAATGTTAATAAAGAACCTTAAGAGCTTAAAAACGTCAGCACAACCCAAAAGGGAAAAAAATAAAAAAGAAACACTTTAGAAAAGATTTTCACACAGTAAACGCTTGGTATGACTCACACAAGTCGAGGTGCATGTAAAAGTGCCCAATCAGTTGATAAGCAGCTTGGTGGTAGAATTGACGGAGCTAAAACTATTGGTGCTGGTGGATGATTTGAATTCTTGATCAATGCCAATGTTTGTATTTTCACCTTCACTGTGTGTTAAGAGAGGCATTGAACTTGAGCTGCTACTCCATTTATAGAACGATGCCGTGGTCAAACGTCTCCTTTTGTTCAATGGGCTTTCCTCCTTCTCCATCTCTTCCACACATTTCACTTCACCTAAGTTCATGAATGACCTTGATTTTCCTTTGTAAAAAGTGGATAATCCTCGCCTAAACAACCAAACGGCGAAACAAAGTATATGACAAAGACTTCTTCTATTTTTCAAACTGAATGCAGTGGTGGAGCGAATTTAAGTGGAAAATCGTGATATTTTTAGTGTAGTGAAAAATGATGTAACTAAAAATTGCTATAGATTGCGGGTTCTATTTTGATGCTTTACTTCTTGCTCAATCCCTTTGATGATTGATGGTTTAAATCAGATTTAAAAAAAAAAAAGAAAGGGAGGAAACACATTAAAACGCATTTATTTCAAATGAATGAAATCAACTGGGAAAAAATAAGAAAAGGATTTTTTCAAAGAGTAACTACGACTAATTTAGTCACGTTTTCATGTTTCAATTGAACACTCGCCATTTTTTATTATTAGAGACTCGATGAAAAAGATTGTAGGAATAAACTGACTTGAAGGGAAGAGCATCTTCCAAAGAGGCCAAAGAATTTAGGGATCCTTCAACTGCCTTGCTCTGAGCTTCCTCTCCTTCTTCTTCTTCTTCTTGATCACCATTACTTAACAAGCCAATTGATGAACTACCATCATACTGGCCAAAAGACAAAGGATCATCACTAATTTTTTTAACAAAGCTTTTTATTTCATAATCAGCAACTACTACTCCATTTTCTTCAGCAAGAAAATCCTTCTTTTCCGGAAGAGAAGACATGGTTAATAAGCAGAGTTTCTCTTTCTCTTCTTTTTCTTCTACGACTTTTTTTCTATAATATGAATACTTCCCACTGAAGAGAATTTATTGACATGAAAAGGGGTTTGGTTTTTGGCCTTTTTTGGACGAAGCGGTGGGTTGTTAGGATTGAGCTAGCGGTGGTGAAATAGTAAGTGTATAGATGATAAAGGAACAACAAGACAAAGATAAAAATAAAAAAAATTTAGCTAGAAGCTGAATTTAAAGCCATTCTTGACCTAAAGGGAAAGAAAATGGAAGTTGCATAAAGCCACAGAAAGATCGTCGTGTTCTATATATACATAGATATGTATATAGAGAGAAAGGTGATGGGGCTGGGTTTGTCGCCGGAAGGGAACTGTGGAATTAGATAGAAGACGTTTGACACGTTGCATGAGGGGGGAAGGTGGCCGTTTCACTTATATACCTACACTCCAACAAAGAGAAAAAGGAAAAGGTCATTAACTTTTATTAGTAATATATACTTACTCCTACTACACTTTACTTCCTTAAACTTTTCGAACGGCATTATACTTTCCGAGTGGAGAATTAGAAATACTTACTTTATTTATTATATGCCGAGGCTAGTGCCAGAATTTGATTGTGATGAACCCGGACGGTCGTCTTAAGAATTAACGCCCCAATCCCCTAATAACTGCTTTTTCCATATTTATTTATGCTATTTTGATTTGCCGGGATGTTCAGTTTTGAGTTTCGGAGAGTTTTGGGACACTTAGTCCCTAAATGAGAACTAAGTGTTAGAAATTTGAACGTAGTCGGAACAGTGTAAAGACGGCCTTGGAATGGAATTTTGATGGTTCCGTTACCTCCGTTGGGTGATTTCGGCTTAGGGGCATTTTCGTATTGTGTTTTGGAGGTCCGTAGCTAATTTAGGATTGAAATGCCGAAAGGTCGAATTTTGAAGTTTCCGGTTCGATAGTGAGATTTTGATCCGAGGGTCGGAATGGAATTCCAGAAGTTGGAGTAGCTCTGTAGTATTTAATGTGACGTGTGTGCAAAATTTCAGGTCATTCGGACGAGAGTTGGTAGACTTTTTCATCGAAAGCGTATTTTTAGAGTTTTGGAGTTCTTAGGCTTGAATTCGCGGTTGATTCGTCGTTTCGATGTTGTTTTAGGTATTTTAAGGATTGGTATAAGTTTGGACAGGGGTATTAGACTTGTTGGTGCCTTTGGTTGAGGTCCCGGGGGCATCGAGATGATTTCGGATGGTTGACGGAAGGATTTTGAGTTTGGAGTTGCAGCTGAAGCTGCTGATCTTCTGTCATAATTGCACCTGCGGTTGGGTCCCGCAGGTGCGTAGCCGCAGAAGCGACATTTGTCATTGCAGAAGCGGAATTGGGCAGGAGCAGAAGGGTCCGCAGATGCGGGAAATTTACCGCAGAAGCGGCACCACATCTGCGAATGGGGAATCGCAGGTACGGAAACAGGCTGGGTTAGTGATTGTCACAGATGCGACCATTGGTCCGCAAAAGCGGGACCACATAAGCGGATTAACTGGGTAGAAACATATAAATTCTTGCCTTCGCGAATTTGAGCTATTTTTCACCTTTTTTCAAACGAGAAGAAGGCTTGGGGGAGCATTTTCAAGAGAAATTTTCAGAGGAGTTCATTGGGGTAAGGTCTTTGGTCCCTAAATTCGTTATTGGAATGATTTTTTCTCATTATAAGCATGAAAAAATAAGAAAAATCACTTGTAATTTGGGGGTTAGGGCTTGATTAATTATAAACATTTGAGTGATGATTTGAGGATCATTTGAGGTCCGATTTTGATACTTTTGGTACGACTGAACTCGTGAGAGTGTGAGGATTTTAGAAATATATATTTTACTTGATTCTAAGACGTGGGCCCGAGGGACGTTTTGGTTATTTTACCTAATTTCGCGTATTAGCTTAGAATTTAATTGTAGAATGAGTTACTTGAAGTGTTATTTACATTATGCAATAGAATTGAATAGATTTGGGCAATTTTGGAGTTGAGTACTTGTGGCAAGAACGTGGTTTCGAGTTGATTTTGAGCCGGTTCGAGGTAAGTGGCTTGCCTAACCTTGTGTGGGAGACCTTCCCCTTAGGATTTGGTATTACTGCTAATTGAAATGCCTTTTATGTGAGGTGACGAGTGCGTACTTGTGCTAATTGTTGAAAATCCAGTTTTCATTAAGTAATTGCTAGTATGTTTCTTTTTCTGTATATATTACCTGTATTTAAAGCCTGTTGTTAGCTTATGAAACCATGTCTAAGTGTTTCAATTGCCTTATTTGCTCAAATTGCTTTACCTGAATTCCGTGCAACATGCTAGGCTAGAATTACTTGTTTGTCTTGATATAAAATTGATATTTCTGAATATTTTTCTGATGCTGCTAATTACATTTGGGACTGTAGATGTGGGATTCCGGTAGCTTCCCCTTGTCTGTTTATTTGGGACTACGGATGTGGGATTCCGGTAAATCCCCCTGCACAGTTATATGGAACTAGGGGACTGCACCTGGTAGATTCCCCCAGTACTGGGTATTTACATTTGGGACTACGGAACGGAATTCCGATTGATCCCCGCGCACTATGAGTTGGACTATGAGACGAGATCCTAGGAGATCCATTGGATATGTATATTTAAGACTACAGGACGGTATCCTGGGAGATCGCCGACTGTTATTTTGGTGCTGAGCCGTATTTCTTTTTGTGTTTACCTTGCCTTTGTAATAGTTGTTGTTGCCCTTTATATCTTGTGTTACTTTTACTGTTGTACTTGTTTATATTGTTCTGTTCTACACTGTCGAAACATTATATTCTATATACCTCATAGGGCCCTGACTTTCCTTTTCACTACCCGACCGCGGTTAGGCTTGGCACTTACTTACTACTGCTGTGGTATTCTCATGCCCCTTCTGCTCGTGTTTTTCATGTGCAGATCCAGGTACTTTGACTCAGTCCTATCACCCTTGAGGCGAGGCGACTGTTCCAGAGACTTCGAGGTATATCTTCCGCGTCCGCAGACCGAAGAGTCCCTTTCCATTCTATCTTGTAGTGATAGCCCTCCTATTTTCTTCTTTTGACGTAGACATTCCGGAGCTAGAGCTTTTTTATTATATTCGTGGCTTGTGATTCATGGGTTTCTAGGTTTTGGGAAAGTGTATTGGTTTTAAGAGTTAATATTGTGTATGCCGAGCGGCACTTTTAAATGCTGTTTTATTACTCTATTTCTGTTTTAAATTATTTTCTTTCAAAAATTTGGTTTATCTTCCGCATCTTAGGCTTACCTAGTCATTGATACTAGGTGCCGTCATGATGGTTCACGGAGGCGAACCGAGTTCATGACAAGTTGGTATCAGAGCTCTAGGTTAATAGGAGTCATGAATCACAAGCCAGTTTATTAGAGTCTCGCTGGTCGGTACATAGACGTATGTACTTATCTACGAGATGCTATGTAAACATTACGAAAATTTCCACTTCATTTGATTTCCTTGTCGTGCGAGATTTGATGTCACAATTCTAAACTTCTGTCTTCTATTCTCTCACAAATGGTGAGGAAAAGCGCTACCCGATATGAATAGGCACCCGCGACCCCTATTGCAGCCGTCAGAGGCCGGGGCCTGGGTAGAGGCCAAGGACACGCACGTGGTGTAGCTAGAGTACCTGCGCGAGCTGCCACCGAGATACCACCAGTAGTTCCAACCGGAGTCCAGGCACCTGATACGCCTGCTGCTACTACTACTCCAACATTTTAGGAGACTCTGGCACAGTTCATGAGCATGTACACCACTTTGGCTCAGGCAAGGTTGCTTCCCCTTGATGCAGCTACGTCTCAGGCTGGGGGAAGAGCACAGACTCCTGCCGCCCGCACTCATAAGCAGCGAGTGCATGTTGAGCAGGTCCCTGAGATTATTCCCGTACAACTTGCAGTCCGGGACTAGCCCGAGGATAGGGCAGCAGTTTCCGAGGAAGAGCAGTTGAGTATTGAAAGGTTCAAGAAGTACAAGCCTTATGTATTCAGTGGTCTAGCATCGGATGATGCTCTGGGATTTCTAGATGAGTGTTACCATATTCTCCATACCATGGGTATATCAGGATCGAGCGGGGTTTCCTTCACTACTTTCCAGCTTCGAGGAGCCGCATATGAGTGGTGGCACACCTATGAGTTAGACAGTCCGGATGAGGTTGATTCACTGGCTTAGACTGAATTTTCAGATATGTTCCTGAGAGAGTATGTTCCCTAAAGCTTTAGGGATGCACGGCGCGCAGAGTTTGAACATTTGCGCCAAGGTACTATGACTATCTCAGATTATGCTATCTGTAACACTAGTTTGGCTAGACATGCACCAACCGTAGTTCCTACTGTTCGCGAGAGGGTTCGCTGGTTTATTGAGGGACTTATTCCCAACATGAGGTCTAGCATGGCTCATGAGTTGGAGATGGATATTTCTTATCAGCAGGTGGTGAGCATTGCTAAGAGGATTAAGGGTATGCATGCTAGGGAAAGAGAGGAGAGGAAGGCCAAGAGGTCTCGAGAGTCTGGCCATTATTCTGGTTCCCATACCCCAGCTGTAGGTCATTATGGTAGGGGTTATATGAGTCACCCTGTTCATTCAGCTCTTCCAATAGCTAGTGGTATTCCAGCTCCTCCTAGACCTCAGGAGCCTTATTATGCACCTCCGGTTTCTTGCGCGCCTCCTGCGGGAGGTGCTTTTAGAGGTCAGTCCAGCAGACCTAGCCCAAGCCAGTCACAGCTGCCACATCCTCCTAGAGCTTGTTTTGAGTATGGTGACAAATGCCATATGGTGAGGGATTGCCCCAGACTTGGGAGGGGTGCACCTCCCTAGACATCTCAGCCACAGCGTGCCCCGCAGAGTTCTCAGGCTATGATTACAGCTCCAGTTGCTACCCCACCTACTTAGCCAGCTAGAGGTGGAGGTTGGGGAGGTAGAGGTCATCCTAAAGAGGGAGGCCAAGCCAGATACTATGCCCTT